TTTCTCGGAAACAACAAGGCAGACAAATACAGGTTGTTGGTGGAAAACCTCCTCAAGGCATACAAAAGTCTTAGTTGCAATATATCACTAAAGAGATATTTTTTGCACTCTCATCTAGATTTTTCCACCGAACTGCAGAGCAGTGAGCGACGAGCACGGCGAGCGATTTCACCAGGACATTGCAACAGTGGAGAAACGCTATCCGAGCAAATGGAGCCCATCAATGCTTGCAGACTATTGCTGGACAGTGACAAGAGATGCTCCATTTAATGAATACAAGAGACAAGCCAAGAAGCGCCGAGTAGACACTGAATAGGACTAAACTATGTACATAATAGTTTTTTGCCTTTTGTTTCATCATAAATTTTATTTATATAACCCTTTTGCTGATTTTTAAAGTGTTACATAAACAGGACAGGTGAAATATTATCATGTAAAGCAACCATAAACACATGAAAAGACCTAGGTTTACAATTTATGATTAAAACTCTACTATCTACACAATATACATAGACATAAAATGTAAAAACTTAATTATCTTAGAAACAGTAGCCAATCAGTTGTTTTAATTGTCATATTTGAATTCAGCACATCAAAATACATAATAAATAGCACATTTTATCTCTGAAGCAGACAACTTCTCAAAAATTGTAGACCAGTGTTATTCATTTATATAGTGGGCCTGATTCTTCTGTCACTAAGGTCTTGACTACATAGGCAAGTTAAACAGGTTTAACTTCTTGTTTTTTGAACTGATATAGTTGAACCAATACAAACTCCCATGTGGACACTTTTTTTTTTTTTTTATTTCAGTTTGAGTGTCCTATTTTGGTTTAATTTAAATCTATTTCCAGTCGAATTAAGTAAACTGAAAAAAGCCACTCTTTGAAATAAATGTCTCTACAAAGGAATTTGCACTGGTTTAGATCAGTCTGAATTCACACCTTAGGTTATTCTAGTACAACTTCCCCATGTAGACAAGACCTTGCACTGGCGTATCTCAAGTGTAACTCTGTATAATTCACTGGCATAAAACCGGTAAATAAGATATAAAGAAATAAGATCAGAAGCTTCCACTCTGCCTAATTCTCAGTAGCTGCAGTCACTGCAGGATGTTGAGTGGCTTGGTGGATAAGGGAAAGTCCCCTCTGCAACCACTGTTGATTAATCCAGTTAGTTAGGTGACTAGCATGGCTGCCCCTACAGGTATGGTGCACCTCTTCCCCCAGAGCTCAAGTGCCATAACTCTGTACTGTGCCTTGTCTCCCCTGCCTAGAGAGCTGAAAGCCTGATGTTGCGGCTGAGCCTGTTACTGCTTAGTTGGTGGGATTTTTCTAGATTCCTGCTTTTGAATGGTTCTTGTGAGTGAGACACATTTTATTGATCAACCTTGCCTGAATTCTGACTCTGCTGTTACATCACAACCCCACTTGGTCATAGCAAAAAAAGTTCTGAATGATTTCAAGATAGAAGGCAAATTTACATCTGTCATGTTTCACTGCTGAGTCTTGATGCCACACTCATTAACATCATGGTGTCTGAAAACAAATTACATCAGAATTAAATCAGTCTCCAGGTAAAGGACTATATTACAGGGTCCATTCTGTATGTCAGAAAATTGACCAGGTAGCAAGAGATAAAACAGAAATACTATCCCGAGGTAGCAATTGTGTATTGCAGTGTGTTGGGAGCCTTGCAGCACTAAAAATACAATCCTTAGAAGTAAAATGTTGCTTAGCAGCAATATATTGTTAAAGCCGAGATATGGTGGGGAAGGGCTGAGGTTTTGATAATTAATCATTGATTAAACATGGCTAGTAGAGGAATTTCACTCTTTTTTTTTAATGTTTGGACATAATGGTTGTTAAACACTTCCATTTTTTTTCAGATAACCTTTTTGTGAACAAGCAGAATGGATACTACTACCACTCTCAGACTAGCTTGGATAGAGCTCCACATGACTACAATGGCAGAATTCGCAATGGGAGTGTCTATAGCGCACACAGCACTAACTCTTTGAATAACCCACAGCACTACTTGCAGCCATCTCCCATGTCCTCTAACCCAAGCATTACTGGAAGCGATGTCCTGAGACCTGATTATGTTCCGTCGCATCGACATAGTGCGCTAATACCACCTTCTTATCGGCCTACGCCAGATTATGAAACTGTAATGAGACAGCTTAACAGAGGAATGATACACACAGATAGGCAGAGTCATTCTATGAGAAATCTTAACATCAGCAATTCATATGCATACAGTAGGCCTGATGCTCTGGTCTATAGCCAACCTGAAATCCGAGAACATGCTCACTTCACCTCCCCGCAATCTAATCACTATCCTTTTAACCTGAGTTACAGTTTTCATAGCCAGTCTCCCTACCCATACCCTGCTGAACGGCGTCCAGTTGTTGGAGCAGTTAGTGTCCCTGAGCTGACAAATGTGCAGCTTCAGGCTCAGGAGTATCCAGCACCAAACATCATGAAGACCCAGGTCTATCGACCTCCTCCCCCTTACCCATACCCAAGACCTGCAAACAGTACCCCAGACCTGTCCCGACATCTTTACATTAGCAGCAGCAATCCAGATCTCATCACGCGGCGAGTCCACCATTCAGTTCAGACGTTTCAGGAAGACAGCCTGCCTGTTGCACATTCCCTTCAGGAAGTGAGTGAGCCCTTAACATCAGCACGGCATGCTCAGCTACAGAAAAGGAACAGTATTGAAATAGCTGGACTTACCCACAACTTTGAAGGCATAAGAATTAAAGAGCGGACCATGTCAGCTTCTGCTGCAGATGTGGCTCTTCCAAGGGTCATGTTGGCAGGGTCACAGCCCAGCATTTTCATAGAGAGAACAAAGCAAGAAGAAAATAAGGAGCAAGAAGAAAGTTTGAACTGTGATCATAAGAAGTCTCTTTCAGATGCCACTATGCTGATTCACAGCAGCGAGGAAGAGGAAGAATTTGAAGAAGAAAACAAAGCTAGTACAACTCTGACTCCTCTCACTGATGATCAAACCCAGCTTTCTGCTATTATGGGTGGCTATCCTCAGGAATCCTTACTAAGTTACCCCTACAGTTCTGTTGCTTCACCTCCTGGCCCTTTGCATATCCTTGAGCCTAAGTTACATATTTCGGAGACGGAAAAGAGGATAAAAGATGTGAGCCCAGTACACTTAATGGCTGAAACCCAGGTGCAGAGAAGAGGTGAAGGATTGCTGACTCCGTCTATGTCAGAATCTGACCTTACGACTTCGGGAAGGTACAGAGTGAGAAAGGATTCTCTAAAGAAGAGACCCGTCTCTGATCTTCTGTCAGGGAAGAAGAATATAGTGGAAGGTCTTCCCCCTTTAGGAGTAAGTGGATATTATTTCTCTCTCTTCTCGTGGCTCCTGATAATATATCTGATACCAATCATTGGTGTTTTTAAAAAAGTTTTGTCAATATCTTTGAAGCATAGCAATTAAATGCAGTAACCTTCTTTTCCATTGCCCTCTCTCTCGCTCTGTTTCTTGCTTTCTCTCCTTATTTGTCTGTCCCTTCTCTCCCCTATTTTGTCTCCCCCCAACCCCCAGTCTGTTCAGCCAGTCTTCCTACCCCACCCCCTATTCAATCTGTAGCTAGGGGGGACTGGCTCTGAGACCTCCTCAGCCTCATATAACCCATGCATGAGTCATCCAGGGTGGCTTTTAATAGGCCATGGTTCCTAGAGCCGCCTCCTCCCCCCACCCCATTCACCAGGCAACTGAAGCAGTAGCAGCTACATCCACTTCTCTAGCAGTTTTGTGACCGACATTAGACCCATTCCCATAATTTGAGCATTGGACTTAACTGAATGTTCACTTGTCTTCTGACACACTTCCCACTCCCTCTCCTCCTAATGTGATGTCACTAAGCACCTCCCTGCTTTGTATTCACTCCTTGGTTTTTCCCTTTTCCAGGCACTCCCTCCCTTCCTATATTACCTTTTAACCGTTCTTTCATCCCTAAAAACTTAGTCCCTCCTTGCCATTCCCCTCCCTCCCACAAACACAAACTGACACTCCTGCCCACAAAACCTCCTACTAGATGTGTGCAGAATCACAGAATGTAATTCATGATCTTCTTTGTTTTTAGTCTGTTTAGTTTGCAAGTTCTTAGGGCAGGAACTATAACTCCATGTGTTTGTACAGTGCCTCGCTCATTGTGGGTGCTACTGTAATAAAAACAAAATAATAATAATTTTTCTTCCTTTTAGCCACTAGCTTTTTTTTTCCTGTTTCCCTACTTTTAGTTTGTCTTTTTTTTTTTAATTGATTGTACTACATTAACATCTTCCCCAGGGTCACTACCAGCAGCTGCCAAGTAGCTTTTTATACAGGGAAGAGCAGCAATCAGAAACTGACTGGCATACTAGTTTTACTGCTTTAGCAGCTGCTACAGCTGACTTTGCAGAAACTAAATACTGTAGGCTTAGTCTATTTATCTAGGCACTTATATAGCCCTCATCATTGTCCCTCCGAATCCAGCTTTCTAGCATGGAGCTGGATGCAGAAAGAGACCTAGTAGAATTGCACAACCTTAGTCAATTACCTTTTAAGAACTTTATAATTGTATATAATTTCTGTGTCTCTTCCCCCTCTGTTACACTAACATCAAGTAAAACTAATGAGGTTCTTCAGTTGATAGGTTTATATTCAGAGGTAGCTTGAACTCTCACCTTGTGTCATGGGTCCAGATCCTCAAAGGTTTTTAGGCACCTAAGTCGTAATTATTGCAATGTGACCTTTAAATATCTTTAAGGTTTGGGTCTTGCTCTTTACATGGTATATATTTTTGAGACATTTGTGAATCTACCCTGCTTTTTCCTTCGACTGTGTTTGTAATTAGTTTGCTTTCAGAGAGAGAGAGAGAGAGAGATTCACTTTAGTTTTAAACTGAGATGTTCTTTACTCATTGGAAATGTTCAATAGAATACTGTCTTATTCAGCAAGTAACATTGTTTAGTTATTTTAAAATATAGCTAGAACAAGGTGGGTGAGGTAATATCTTTTATTGGACCAACTTCTGTGGAGCTCGAAAGCTTGTCTTTCACCAACAGAAGTTGGTCCAGTAAAGATAGTACCTTACCCACTTCATCTCTCTCTCATCCTGAGACCAACATGGCTACAACAACCCTGCAAACAATATAGATAAAACCTAATTTCTTTCAGTACTTAATGCTGAGATTTATATCCTGATAAGACTGATAGAGGCATTCTTTCCATGACGTCTTTTGCTCCCACTGTGGTCCTTTGTTATTGGGTTTCCATTCATTCATTCTTGCACATAGTCCCATTCTCTTAGCTTTGGCATTTAGCAGTGTTTTCGTTTCTGTTACTGCCTGTTAGCTCTTTTATATATTGATTTTTTTTTTTTTTTTTTTTTACTCTCACACCACATGTGTCCATGTTGTGTTTCAGGTTTTTTCACTGTGATAAATTCTTTAGGTCTATTATTTTTGTTAGCAGCCAAACTTATAAACTGTAGGATTGAGACATTTGCTTTCTCTAGTATATAACTGTTTAAAAGATCATGGTGGAATGGTTCTTAACACAAAAATTCCCCTGAATTTGTACTAATATTTTCCTCTAACAGTAAGTGATTACTGCAAAATTAAAGATTCAGGCCCTGATTTTCCAAAGGCCCTTAACTCTGCCTCTAAGTCTCAACCACATTTTTGCATCTGAAATTTGTTGTAGGCCCATTTTTTTTACTGGTTTGACATTTAAGAACCCTCCCCCCACCCCATCTGCAGTCTAATGCATATGCATCTAAGTGCTATAAAATGCATCCATAAAATTGTGTTCTGAAAACTGGGCCTATAAACTATATAGTGTGATGCACATAATCATTTAGATGTGTGTGATATCCCTTTGTGGTATTTTTTCTGTCTTATTCTTACTATTAAAGATTTTAATTCTATTGAGGACTGTAAACTGCCCAGAATTGCCCTTGCACTGTGACCTAGCCGTGGAGAGAACAATATTTGTCATTCTTGTGGCGTTTCAGAAACTTGTATCTGGAATGAAGTCTGACTGGTGTCCTGTCCTAGGAAAGAATGTGGCTTTACCACTGCAATCTCTTAGACAGTGGTTAGCAAAGAGATACGGCTGTGCATTGTCTTCTGTTTGCAAAAAAAGGTGTCAGAGGAGTCCCTCTTATTAAGCTGAACCCCTATGCAGACCACGTTCTAATCTGTTTTGTGGATATTACAATTTTTAATTTTTTTTCTGCAGGGTATGAAAAAGAATAGAACTGATGCAAAAAAAATAGGGCCTCTGAAGCTAGCTGCCCTAAATGGACTAACCTTGTCTCGCATGCCTTTGCCAGATGAGGGTAAAGAAGAGCCTACCAGAGCAACAAATGATGAACGGGTATGTTAAAGTTTTCTAGAGTGTTTGGTTTCTCTTAGCCAGGCAATCTTACAAATGAACTGTATCGTCATTGTGTTTTGTGCTAATTACTAGAACATCTCACCCTCAAAATAATTCAGACATAGAAGGTGGCAGCAAATTGGTGAAAGAGACTTCTAATTATTGGTAAGTTGTTGGGAAAAGTGCCTAATGAGACTAAGGATGAAAGGAGGGAGGGATGGCTCAGTGGTTTGAGCATTAGCCTGCTAAACCCAGGGTTGTGAGTTCAATCCTTGAGGGAGCCACTTAGGGATGGGGAAATATCAGTACTTGGTCCTGCTAGTGAAGGCAGGGGGCTGGACTCTATGACCTTTCGGGATCCCTTCCAGTTCTATGAGAGATATATATATATATATATATATATATATATAATAGATGGAGATATACCTAAGATTCACCTGTTATCCAGCTTCTGGGCACATGGGCAGTAGTTAAAATAGTATCCAGAATTTTTTAAATTAGAAACTTTCCCTCTATTTCCCACTGAGTTGTATCCCTGTCTAGAGTGTATGCTCTTCATGGTAGGGGCTGTGACTTTCTGTGTGACTTGTACTGTTGGTGCTTACTTGTTAAAT